TTTTTTAATGCATTGTTGAATTCTATTGGCTAAGATTTTGTTGAGGATTTTTGCATCAGTGTTCATTAGGGAGATTGGTCTGATGTTTTCTTTTTGTTTGTTTTCTTTGTTAGGTTTTGGAATTAGTGTGATGTTGGCTTTATAGAAAGTATTGGTAGTTTTACTTCTTTTTCCATTTTTTGGATGAGTCTGTGTAGAATGTGCACTAGTTCTTTTCTGAACGTTCAGTAAAATTCATTTGTAAATCCATCTGGTCCTGGGCTTTTATTTTTGGGGAGGGTTTTAATAACTTCTTCAATTTCCTTGCTTGTAATTGGCCTGTTTAGTTCTTCTGTTTCTTTGCGTAGCTTTGGGTGGTTGTAGAGTTGTAGGAATTTGTCCATTTCTGCTAAATTGTCGAGCTTGTTTACATATAGTTTTTCATAGTATTCTCTGATTATTATTTTGATTTCTGCTGGATCTGTTGTGATTTCTCTTCTTTTGTTTATGATTCTATTTATTTGTGCATTCTTTTGTTTTTTCTTTGTGAGTCTGGCTAGTGGCCTGTCTATCTTGTTTATTTTTTTTGAAGAACCAACTTTTGGTTTCTTTGATTTTTTTGAACTGTTTTTCTATCACTCATTTCATTTATTTCTGATTTGACTTTTATTATTTCCTATTTTGGGTTATCTTGTTTTTCTTTTTCCAGTTCTTTAAGGTGAGACATTAGGCTGTTTCTTTGAGTTATTTCTTGGTTCTTTATTTGAGCCTGTGTTGCTATATATTTTCCTTTTATAACTGCTTTTAATGTGTCCCATATGTTTTGGAGACTTATGTCATCATTGTCGTTCTTCTCCAGGTATTTTTTTAGTTTCTTCTTTCTTCTTCTCATTGACCCAGTGGTCCTCCAGTAGTGTGCGTTTCAGTCTCCACGTAGTAGGTGGGTTTCTTGTTCCTCATATGGTTTACTTCTAGTTTGGTTCCTTCATGGTCAGAGAAAATAGTTGGTATGATTTCGATCTTAGTGTATCTATTGGTATTTATCTTGTGACCCAATATGTGGTCAGTCCTAGAGCGTGATCCTTGTGGGTTTGAGAAAAAATGTGTACTCAGATTTTTTGGGGTGCAGTATTCTATAGATGTCTGTTAGACCCATGTTGCCGAGGTCCTTGTTCAGAGCTTTAGTCTTGTTGATCTGTCCATTGTGGAGAGTGGCGTGTTGAAGTCTCCTACCATGTATATATTTTCTCTGATATACGTTTTCATAGATGACAGTAGTTCCCTGATAGATTTCGGTGCTCCTTCATTTGGTGCATATATGTTGATGATTGTCATGTCTTCTTGTATTGTCCCCTTAATCATAATGTAGTGGCCTTCTGTTTCTTTTAACCTTTTGTAGTTTGAAGTCTATTTTATCCTGCAGACTGCCACACTTCCTAGTGCCTGCGGCCTCCTGGGAGGGAGTTCCCCTATCAAAACTCCCCAATTGCCGATTCTCCCTCAATTATCTCCCTTCTAGCTAGTCCAGGGTGTTCTCATTTGTGTTGAAACTCTTATGTAAGTTTATAGTCCGTTTTTTACCCTATATCCCTGCATGAGTATGAACACAGTGATCTTGGTTTCTTTACTCTGCTGCCATCTTGCCCATCTCCCCCGAATTGTGGATTTTAAGGTGGTGTAGGAGGAATGGGAAATGATTACAAATGAGTATAGGGTTTCTTTTCCAGATGATAGAAATGCTTGTGATGTGGCACATCTTTTTGAATGTATCAAACAGCACTGAACCATACACTATCTAAAAGAGTGAATTTTATAATATGTGAATATATTTTTATTTTTTAAATGATAGTGGAGTAGAAAATCACTCATAGAATTTTATCTTCCTCGGAAAGTCACCTACATTTTCTGGGTCTCGTGCTTTCTTCTAACACTTGCTACTTAACATTTCCTTGCCTATTTTATGTGTGAAAATTTCTTGTTTTTATGATTTGGTATTTGAGTTGAGACTAGGGCTACATACCTACTACAATTTTATTCTTAAGTTCTTCTGATTTTCATAAACCTACTGAGTATAATTCCTCTAGTGATCACCTGGGCTTTATTTGCGGTGTGGAATCAGTTATGAAGACCTGTAAATTATGTGACCTTGAACAAGTTAGTACATCGTTTATGAACCTTAATTTATTTTACAATATATAATTATCAGGGTCATGAAGACTTAACAATAAAATGGATTTTAAGTATTTGGCACACTGTCTAGGATGATATAGTTCTCATGTTAACTTATTTTCTACTTCTTTCCCTTTGGTAGAAAGCACATTCTTTTTAGATCTGTAGTCACTTAGTTCTTTCTCAACTTTCTGCCAAGCAACAGATTGCTTTTAGAAATGTTGTGGATGAGCTTTTTTTTTTTTTTCTGTGTGACCCTGCTGTGCCTCTTCTAGTACTGGCGACACTGGATCCTCAGTGAGTTTGGATTTTATGTGAGACAACACAAGCCTTTTATATGAATTTTTCTGTATTGTCCTGAGAAGATTGAAGAGTGTGATTAACACACATATTTCAAGTTCTTCTCTTGCTGAGAGTCCTAAAACTTAACTAAAGTTGATACTGGGGGCGCCCTCCATCCCTTGTAAAGCTTTTCAGTTCTTTCTTTCTAGCTAAATTTTCCAGGATTTATGTCCTCATCTTTAACATCATCTTTTAACATGAAATGTTTAAACAGTACCAATGAACTCATTATTCACAAAGGCACTCCCAGGCTTCTATTGCCTTGCAAATATATTATCCTATTATTTGACTGTCTAAATTCATTGTACATTTGAAATTGTGGCCCAACTCTTTGAGCAGCTATATATGAGGGCTTCTTGGCACTCTGTTGCATACCACACTGCCTTAACCAACTTCCTGTGGGCAGCCCCACCCCAAACCACAGAGCTTATATCCTGTGGGCAAGTTTGCTCTGAAAGCAGTGGGACATGCCACCTTTGTTGTCTCAGTGCACACCAATTCTGGACAGCCCCAGGCTACTCAGTTGCCAGCTGTGGATGTGGCAATGCTTTCTTCAGCCTGTAGATGGCCCCTCTCTGAGTCTAAGTGTGTACAGCCTGGGAGCTGGTGTAGGCCACTTCAATAGTCATGGTGACCCGAGTCCCGCAGCTCCTGGTTTGGAGCTTCTAAGAGGAGTCTGGGGCTCCACTTGGGCAGTTCCATTGCTTTGCCTTCCTGAAGCTGTAGGGACATAGACCCACAATGCACTGGGCCGGCAAGGATTGCCCCCGGTGGCAGTGCACCCTAAACCCAGGGCCTTTGTCCCATTACTGATGAAGGCCCTCCCCACCCGCCCCCCCCCACATTGTTATACCTGGCCCAGCTGAAGGCCACTGGCTGCAGTCAGTGTTCCTCTAACACTGCTGAGTCTGGCTTCACTCATGACTCTCTGGAGCTATTGTTCCTGAGCTTGCCTTGACCTCAGTGGAGGCCAGTTCTGGGCAGTCTTCTGGGGTTATGAGTGAACCAAACAATGGAGCTTTCCAGGCCCATTCATGCTTCTGAGTTTCATTATGTGAATTGAAACTGGAGCAAGCTGATTGGTAGTTAACCAGCACCAATCAAGCAGTTGGGATTGGAGGCCAGGGAGTAAGGGTGGGGAGAAATGGGTAAAAATAAACCAGGAGGCCCTTCCTGGTGGCACAGCAGATTAAAGCACTGCACTAAGAAGCTTAAGCCAATTCCGCATGAGTTCGATTCCCGCCTGCCCCGGAGGAGATCCACATGGCGCGGCAGACCTCTCCTGACCCGCCCGCTGCTCCCCTCAGCAGTGTACTTCATCGATCTGCCTGTTCTGCTCCCCACTCTGTTCCTGGTGAATCCTCTCACCCTCCGCATCTCTGGCCTGTACCCCAGTTCTGTATGCACAAATAAATAAATCTTTAAAAAAATAAATAAACCAGGATTGAAAAATGATCCAATTAGGTTATAGGGTGGGGGCTATGAAGGGGCTGTAAGTCAGAACAGGAGGCAGCTTGAATTCACTCAGCATACAACCTCTGAGGAGAATCTATCACATGGCTACAGAAGAGAATTCAGCAGATAGCCTAGCCTCTGAAAAGAGCCCTTCAGCACAGGATCTCCATAGGCACTGCTGAACTGTTTCAAGTCATCTTTGAGAGCTGCCCACCACTTCTCATCATCAGCCACTGCCTCGCAGTGCTGTTGATTCCAGTGCTGTCTGGTCCATTGTCCAGTGATGTCTTGCCTAGCCTTTGGACTATTACTATGGACCGCTGTGTCCTCAACAGGCCCACCTGTGATTACCGCCAGCTGCTACCTAATGTGTTGGATACTGGTCTACTGTTTTCTGGTGTGCCACTAGATCCACGCTCTCAAAGAGACATTGCCATCTTACATGAGGTGCCATTGTTTTGGGCTACTGGATATTGTGGATACTGGCTATTGGGGTGAGACAGACAGACACTGTGGCCTTGGAAACTCCTGTTTTTCTTGATCTCCTGTTTGTTAGTAAGCCCCACTGTTGCTGTAGTGGTATCTTGAATTGTTAGCACATGATGACAACCCACAAACAGTGACCTGTCCACCACTTTGGTACTGTTTTATATTAATCTTCTGAAGTCAAATACTTAGTGCACTAATATGTTCCTTCTTTCTCCTTTTAAATAAAGTGGAATGGGCAGATGTATGTGAATGCTTGGGGGAGAAGAAAAACTAACCACGAGACAGACCCATTTTAAGTGTCATTTTTGAGCGGCAATCCTCAGGGCTTTAAGTTGTAAGTTAAAGGAACTGTACTTGTTGAAGTAGAATGGTTCTGGTTTACATTTGATGAACTTGAAACTGCAGAGACTGGTGCAAAATTAAATTCTCTCTTGCTTTTCTTTTCTTCCCAGGATCTGCAGAAATCAGGCTGTATAAAATCTGACATATGTTCTTCATTGTCAGCTCTGTACAAAGGGAATTAAAACTATAGGTATATTAATATGTACATTTTCTTTCATATCTAGGAGCGGAAAAAGAAATTTGAAAAGGATGGCGAGAAGTTTTATTCCTTGCTTGATCGGCACTTACATTTGTCTTCCAAAAAGAAGGAATCTCAGCTACAGGAGGTATGTTCAGAAGTTCTGGCTCTGTCTTCCATTGCCAGAGACTTTGCATTTTGCCAGAAATGACGTATTTGTAAGACTTGCCTCATGCCCTGCCTTAGCTAGTGCTTGCGATTAAATCATAGCCTGGGACTCAGGATCCCTGGGTTCTCAGGGTATCTCCTACCTGAGTTCATGGTTTTATGGTTTGGATAATATAGTTCTTTTTTATATCTCAGTCCCTCTCTCTGTTAATAGAGGAATTGTATTCAATAAACTCAAGAGTTCCTTTTTGTTCCAATTTTCTCATTCCAGATTTCACACAAGGATAGAGCTAAATTAGTGTTATATTTGGTAGCTCAGAAACTGATCATCTGAGATATTCCAGTATTGGCATTTTAAAAATATTTTTGTTCTTACGTTATGACTATAGCTTACAAGGAGCTTACATGGGACTTGCTTCAGTTCAAATAAAATATTATTTAGTAAGTTCCTACCACACACTAGGCACTATTTATGCTGGGCACAACAGTACTACAAAGATAATAAGACAGTCTTTTGGCCCTTAGACAACTTACAGTTTGGGTACTAAAATAAGAATACACATAAGTAGAATTTTTTTTTTTACATATGTATTGTCCTTGCCCAATTGGGAAAATGTTTTAAGATTACAAACCTATCATTTGTATGGGGATAGTTGAGTTTTTGGAAGACTGATGCCCTTCCACTCTGAGGTAGTCATTCAACAATAGATAATACATTAAACAGACTGACAAATGTCACAAAGAGAAAGACAATTGTTTTATGATTTCAGTCATGTGGAATATAAAGAAACAAAACAAGTGAACAAAAAACAAGTTGAATCCTTAAGATTCTGACAAAGTAGAGCTTAGCTAAGGCAAAAGGTTACAGGTTAGATTAGCTAGAGATGTTCAATTGGATGTTGGTAGTTTCTAGAACTTTGGTGGTGGGTACAGTGTGGTATATTTGAAGAAGTGTGAAGCTGTGCTTCTGAGCCTGACGCAGCGTCTTAAACCAGTGCTACATAAATTTTAAAAATGGAGAAATGGACCTTTCAAATGGAAGGCTGTGATCCCAAAAACAGAAAACATGCACTCTGAGAAATGATTTGGTCAGAATTTGCATTTAAAATGGGAAGGATGTAAACGACGAGATAGGCTTGTACAATCTGAGGACATATTGTGGAGTAATGGGTTCAGGAGTTTGCATGGAATGTTGTTGGCACTGGGAGGATTACTGTACAAGCAAAATGAGTAGAATACTATTTTGGGAGTATTAAAGTAGCCTAGGTTGTATGATGAATTACATCAGAGAGAGATGGGAAACAGGGTAAACAAGTTTTGAAAATTATTGGAACAAGAAGAGACTATTTCTCTGCAATAGTGACAGTGAAGAAGAGAGGGAAAGAATTACTAGATTAAATTTTTTTTTTGAAAATGAAAGAAGAGACCTGTCTGTTGGTTAAAAGATCTAGTGGGCCCTCCCTGGTGGCACAATGGGTTGGGGCACAGCACTGTGAAGCTAGCCATAGCCTACTGCTTTACCGTGAGTTCAGTCACCGGCTCCAGCTTTAGTGAGCATTTATCATGTCATGTTAGTTGCTGAAAGCAGTGAGTCAGGATCCTCTGGTGGATGGTGTTAGTATTAATTAGGTGAAGGACAGCTTCTCTTCCATACATTGCAGTGAGGTGCTAGCTTGGGAACTTCTGCTAATTTTCATTTGCACATTTTTGTTTTCTTCCCTTTCCATCTATTCCATGGCAAGGCTACTCTAAAGAAAGGAACTAATAGAATTTCTGAGAATACCATGCTTTGAAGATCAGCTTACAAATTTAGCACTTGGCTACAGTGTGGTAACTTGGCTGGTAAACAGTTCCTTACACTGATATTAGTTTTCCTAAATAGTAAGAGTGACTCACTGTGCCTACAGTGTCATGCAGACAATGTGGTTTTGTCCAACACTTTATTTTCTTTTAGTAGACTAAATTTTAGCTACATGGTTGGCAGAGGGTGCCTAGATATGTAATTCCCAATAAAAACCTTTGGCACTCAGTCTCTAATGAGCAAACAATATTTCACACTTGCCATAACTTGTTGCTGGAGGAATTAAGTGTGTCTCACATGACTATACTATGAAACAACTCTAGTTGTTTCATAGCTTTTTTTTCCCTGTACTTTGCCCTATCTGTCTTTTCCCTTTGCTGATTTTTCTATGTATTATTTTTCAAAATAAATTTCAGTCATGCATATACTGAAACCTTCAAGTTCATCTAGAGAAATACCAAACCTGGGCTGGAACCCCAGCTACAGCCCAAACTTTATTATTTAGGAGACTTTTACAATGGAAGTTTCTAGAAAGACCTAGCACCTATTTTGGTAGTATTATGAGATGTCTCTGGTGACAGTCCTAATGAGCAGGGATGCAACCTTTGTTCTTGTTCAATCAAAAGTAAGTTTCAATACCTTGAGTCATCATTTTTTTATATTAAGAAATTATCTTTAGAGTATAAGTATCTTGCAAAAAAAAATGAGTGGTATACCAACTAACACTCAGAGGACCCACTGTGTTTCTGAGACCTTGGCTCAGGTTGCTCTTGCCCTTCCATTCAGCACAAATATGAGACAATTGATGGTCTGCCCCAGCACCACCAGTCTCCCATGCTATAGAATTTACAGGTCATTTCTTCTTCACCAGTCCCTCTGTCCAGATCTCTCAGCACTGTCAGCTCATGATCGTGAAATAGCATGAGGTCTGGTTTCCTGCTCATTTTTCCCAAAACAATTTGGGTAAATGCCAAAACTTTGAAATAATCAAAATTAAAGATCTGATATAATAGCAATGAAATTTAGTTCCACCTATTAGGGGAATCCCATTTTAACCATGTTCTAGTTCAGCTTTCTATCTGGCAGCACATTCACAAATCATGTGTATCTTAAGATCAAATCTGTCTCTAGGAATATCCAGATCTTTCTGAACTATATAGTGAAAAACGTAGTATTGTTAATTGAAAAGTCTGTGTCATTCAGAACTTTATGGATCGGAAAAGTTTGAAAATCCCAATTTATTCTGTGGGTTGATTTTAGCCGTATGCAAAACTTCATCATGGGTTGTGTCCTACACTTTTATCCACTGATATTTCTCTCACTTTGTTGTTTTCCTGGCCTTCTTCAGAACTATTGTTTGTCTCATAAAAGATTTAACAGAGGGCCCTCCCTGGTGGCGCAGCGGGTTAAAGCACAGCACTGAGAAGCTAAGGCCACTTCTGCATGAGTTCGATCCCCGCCTGCCCCGGAGGAGACCACATGGCATGGCCGACCTCTCCTGACCTGCCCGCTGCTCCCCTCAGCAGTGTACTTTGTTGATCTGCCTGTTCTGCTCCCCTCTCTGTCTCTGGTGAATCCTCTCACCCTCTGCATCTCTGGCCTGTACCCCAGTTCCATATGAATAAATAAATAAATCTTAAAAAAAAAAGATTTAACAGAAAGGAAGAATTGACAAACAGAAAAATATCACTAGTTGGGCAGTTTTGGTTTTCTCTGTGTTTCAGTGGGATAGTGTTTGTGTGTACAGGGATGAGTGTGGGTTAACGTTATGCATACATGTTAATTATTTGTCCATTATTCTACAGTGTAGATAAAGTCTATGCACACATCCCAGCCTGAATCTTTCTTAATAGAGACCTAAAAAGTTCAATATGAAAATCTTAAACCTAGATCAGTAACCTAATTTACATTTTAAGTTTTATTTTGTTTACACCAGGTTTGGTGTTTGTTTTTTATTTTATTCCCCCAACACATCCCTTTTACTCATTTGATCTTTTCTTCCTCCTCACTTCCTTATTCTCAGAAATGTCACTTCATGTTTTAGTGTCGTATTATAAATTTTGTTTTGTTGAATAGTCTATTATGCAAATGATATTTGTCTTTGTCTGACTTGCTTTACTATACATAATTCTCGCAAACTCCTACTTTGCTATATTGATGGGGATATTTTGTCTAACCTTATGGCTAAATAAATGTTCCACTATGTAGATATTCCACATTTTCTTGATCCAGTCCTGTATCACTGGTCTGTTAGGTTGTTTCCATGTCCTAGCTTTTGTAAATAGTGGTGGAATAAATATGGCAGGGCATATAGTGATGGCTTCAAATTCTTTAGATAGATGCCTGAGAGTGAGATTGCCGGATTTTGTGGTATTTCCATTTTTACTATTTTAAGGTAAATCTAAATTATCTTCAAAAACACCAGCAATGTTACAAAGTTCCTCTTTTTTGGTATTCTCTTTAGCACTGTTGGGAGTCTTTTCATGATTTATGTATTTATGCATACAGAACTGGGATATAGGCTAGCGATGTGGAGGCAGTGAGAAGATTCACCAGAGACAAAGTGGGAAGCTCAACAGGCAGATCGAGGAAATACACTGCTGAGGGGAGTAGCGGGCGGGTCAGGAGAGGTCTGCCACGCCATGTGGATTGCCTCTTGGGCAGGGATGGAACTCACACTGAAGCAGCTGCAGCTAGCTTGCAGTGCTGCATACTAACCTGTTATGCCACCAAGGTGGGGACTGGAAGACCTTTTTAATAGGCATTATTCTCATAGATATGAAATTGTATCTCTTTGTGTTATTTATTTATTATTTTATATGTTTTTTACCTCAGTCTTCATTTTTATGTAATGTACGCTTTATCATCTTGGCTGTAATCCCTGTGAAATTTCCACTGCCAATTCACCCATGGGCCATCACCAGTTTTAACCCACATATCTCTAATGAAATTGATGAACAGTTTTTCATATATCTAGTCATTAATTAATGTCTGCTGACCATTTCTTAATTGGGTGTTTTAAAATTGAGTAAGTTTTTTTGTACATGTTGGCTGTTAATCAAATTTTGTTGGTTGTTTACTATGAATATTTTATCCCATTCAGTATAATATCTTTTTAGTCTGCTTAAAAACTGTGTGTAAAACTTTTTGAGGTGATATAAAATCTTTTTATTTATTTT